AATTTTCTTTATAGCAGTTATACGTATAAATTTATCTCTTACTCTATGGTTACAACATGACTTTCATTTTTTCTATAATCTATTTTTTTCTAATCATCAAAACCATATATCTTAAGTTCTTTTTTTTTTCTATTTCACGCAAAAAGTCTGTAAAGGGTTTCCAGTCAGTAATGAACTTAGATAATGTCTTTTCTCTGATCAAAGATGTCAATTTGGCCATCTCAGCAAGTTCCATCATCTTCACTGTCCATTCCTCCGTTGTGGGTAACGTCAAATCTTTCCCTCTTTGTGCATATAATAATCTCACTGCAGTTATCCTATATAAAAACAAAGGTCCATGATTTTTTTCAACTGTTTATCAATCAATCCCAAAAGAAAAGCCTCTGATTTCAACTGTATTTTAATCTTTAAAATCTGAATTAGTGTATGTGAATTTTAGAACTGAATAACTCAGAGGATGCTTAAGTAGCAGGGGGAGGTGGGGGATACAAATTAGCAATTCTGTATGGATAATTCAGCTTCTTCTCAAATGCATTCCCCGTTTTTACCTTCCTGAGCTTGTGCTTATCCTGAACCCAAAGTCAGCTATTTGCTTTTCAGTGTTGAATGAATGAATGAATGAATGAATGAATGAATGAATGAATGAATGAATGAATGATGCAGCTCCAGGACAAACTACTGCTTTGGAGACATGTTTTCTAGGTAGTTGACAATCTGTCAGAATGATATATATGATTCAGTTTTCCCTAAGCTCTCAGACTAGAGAGGTATGGATGTTACCTTACGTATGTCATCTCCCCATATATGAGGTTTTACATGAGGAATTTCTCAATTTTTACACAATGTATATCTTGTGTGGTGACTTTATTTATATGGACCACCAAGAGGCAGTACATGATTGGATTCATGCTATACTGGGACACTTCAGACAGAGTTTTGAAGAATCCCAGTATAGGATGAAACCAGCCATGTTCTGCCTCCTGGTGGTCAGTATAAAGGAATTGGAATTGGAAGGTGGATTGTGAGTATTTATTTGCTAATTTATATAAAACATTTCCCCTTCACCATTCTTTAGCCAAAAAGCTCCCAGAATGGCTTATAAATATTGGCAATGGTGGATATGTCCCTCTTGGACATGACACACAGACAGAAAAAGATGGGAAGACAAGATGGGTTAAACCAGATTTCATCCTCTTGCAGTCCTTATGATGACCAACTGGGAAGCCAGCAATTCGGATACATTGCTAGAAAAACAGCTGGCTAGATGGCAATAGGGATGGCCTAAAGCCAAAGCTGACAAAGCAGTTGCTTTGTTTTTCTCCTCTCCCTATTAAGGTAATAGGAAGTACTTACTTGGGGCTACATGTAAAATTTAGAACATGCTAATGTTTTCCATTTCCAGATTCTTAATGAAGCAGTACTGATCTGTTAATGACCTGAACAGGGGTTTGAGTGACAGGTTTTAATTTTCTTTCTCTCTCTCTCTCTCTCTCTTCAGTTGACAGATCCGTTCAGGCCCATGTTGAGGGTAAGATGGCAACTAACCTCTTTCTGCCTTGTTTTGCTATGGTTCTTCTGCCTTTCTTAGAATCCTCCCCCCCCCCCGCATTTCTCTCTGAATTTTGCCTGCAAAGATGCACCCACCAATCGTTAGACTTCACCTGTTCCTCCTTTAAAAAAAGGGTCACCTCCCATGCTTTACAAAAGTTACTACTCATGCAGTTTGCCATAAAATCATAGATGTTTGGAATAGGAGTGCACCACAAAAATCACCTGGTCCAGTCCCCTGCAATGTGCAAGAAAACTAATGAAACCTTTTTTTGGAGGTGGTTGTTCAGCCTCTTCTTGAAAACCTCCAGAGATGTTGAACCCGTGTACTCTTTGCCTCTTCTGTTTTCTCCGTGCCTAACGCACACATGAACACAAATCGCAGCCACTAAAGTATGCCGTATACAGCACATCTTTGTACCACTTTCTGTGTGTTTGCTACTTTGTGTTTGTATAAAAATATCCTGCAGGATAGAGAAAGAAAGTCATGAAAACCGCAAAGAAACTAAAGGGGTGGTCAGCTGTACACACGCCACTTTGAAAGGATGGCAGTACTATGGAGCAAGAATGAGCCAAAATGCAGAGTGTCCATTCAAGTGTACCACCCTTACTCTTGCCTGTAATAGTGAATATTTTTTACGAGATGTGCAGATACCCCAAAAATATGTGGTGAATTTTTTAAAGCAGCATATTTGTCTTTCCCTTCTGGTTGTGAATGGATGGGCAGAAATGACAGGATCTGATGTCATGGAATGGAAGCTTTTCAGACCAGCAAAGTAAGGCCCTTCAGAGAAAGATCAGTCCACATCCTAAGTCCAAGTTGATGTATGCAAATGATACCACCAGATGCAAATTGATTTACAAGGAAAATACGTGATTTGGGAAGTTCTCACACAAGGTGGATCAGGTGGAAACTATCTAGGAATGGACATGCCCACTTATACAGAGAGGTGATTCATTCTACCCATTCATTTCAAATAAACATTACAAAGAAAATTAGCATTTTTTAAAACTAATTAGGAGGAATATCCTGATGGTATAAGTTGAGTGACCATAGATAAGTCTGTCTCAAATGAAGTCTTCAATTCAATTCAATTCAAATTCAATTCAATTCAGTTAAAAAAATGTCTTCAAATGAAGAAATGACCTTTCTTCATTACATATTTCTAGGCAGGTAATAGGTGACAACCTGTCAGGGAATGCGTAGCAGCTGATGTCATGAATTACCAAAGCAACAGACAAGACCCAGTTGTACAACTTTCACTTGTTCCACTTGAATGGGAATCTTGGTCTTCTAGAGATGACCTTGCAATATAGAGGCCTTATCAATTACTAATGTTGGCTAAATTGAATGCCTGAGTTAGGGCCCCTCTGACCTAGTTTGGTGTTAAGCTAACATTCTCATGTTGGTGTTGTAAACTAACACTCTCTGGGTTTTAGCCATGCTGACGTGCAGCCTCATCACTTCTGAAAAAACACAGGCCTTTTTACACCCCACTTAAGCATCAGAGGTGATAAGTCTCTCCTTATGAAGCCAGTGCTGATGAGGGCTCTTGATTTTGGGGTTTCCAAGAACCATCTGCATGGCAACTATAGGACTAGGTGGGACATTGGCATCATTGGGATATTGTCATAACAAGCCACAGTGACATCAAAATGAAGACTTGTGCATCATGAACTCATCCCACAAATGGCATGATTATGTAACAAGATCATCATGTCTCCATTGCATAAGTCATGTCATTTGTGTGATGATGTGAAGATGCTGGTGACATAATTTGCCCCTGGCTTACCAGTGTGACTTAATGTTCATGGCCAATAGTCCATACCAGCAGGTCTCTTTCTTGTGTCCAGCCAGCAGTGGCTGCATCAGGACAGAGCACATGCTGAGAAACTAGAAATAAAATCTAGCAAGGAGGAAACATACGCCTATTTGGAATGCCCACCGCAAAAGAAGACTGAGACGTCACTTCCTGTATTGGCTGAAGGGCTTCTAGATTGCACAGCTTCAGCAAATGCTGCAAGATTTCCTCCACAGTGCACTAATGGCCACCACCCAAGAGCATCTTGGCATGTGCCAAAGATTTTCCAGACTGGGCAACATAGCAAATGCTAAGGAGTTGTCCACAATATGTACTCAGTGTGGCCAGCCTGGAAGCCATGGAATACATGCCAGAGAGTTTTCCAGACCACTTGGCTTTAGTCAATCCTGCAGACAGTCCCACAGCATGTGCATATCTACCCAGCCACGTACCTCCTCCAAGTGCCTGCCAAAAGCTTTGGCAAGCAAGCCCTGCAGAGAAGACATTGCTTGCCTCCTCCCAATTGTTCACCACAATGAGTGGAAGCTCTGTGACACTCGCCAGAAGTTTTGGGCATCACTGTGGAGGTGAACTGTGCATGTGAAGCACTCCCCAAAAATCAGCACCTGGATACCTTTTGGCACTTGCTGAGGGGGTTCCAGGCTGGATGGCTTTGGCACATGATCTGGGCAGTCCTCAAGATGTCCAGCCTGAAACCGTACTGGCCACAGCATTAACCCAAAGGACTTTGAGGCCACCCAGATTGTTCCATGTAGGCATTGGTGGTATTTTTGCTTCAGTGAAGTAAATGATGGTATCTCCATGGCCTAAATCCCCTTACTGAAATAAATCTGTGTTGCTCTGTACAAGCCTTGTGGACAAGTTGTGGCTTATAGGCTACATGAAGTCCTCAAAGGTCTAGTTTGCAAGCCACAGTGGATGGACGTGATTATCTTCTCTCCCTCACGTTGCCACAACTTTTGCCTTCACCACACTGACTTTGTTATTAGAGTTCAACTCCTACCAGAGCCACACAGGTCTTAGCTATATAAACAGCCAGCATGAGGACACTCTATGTGTGGTCATAGAACCTTTCCAGAGGGGCTGGTAAATCTGCACATCTGTTTCCACAAGTCTTGTTGGAGATGATATTTTATGATTGTGAAGATTCTCAGGGCGTCAATAGCCACATCAAAAGCTGCATTGTAAAGTGAAGTTGGGAAGAAAGAAGATTAAGTGATGTGTGAGAGAGCTGTAACAGGTTATGACTGATGTCCATGCTTACATCTGATGCCTCATCAACCAGTTGACACCATATCCCAAGACAGACAGGTTGTCCCTACTGTCCATTTTACAAGCTGATCCTGTTATTTCTGTGGCAATATGTAAATCCTCTTCTTCACCAGTAAAAAGTGCTTCATAATTTACCTAGAAGGTGACTTAAAGCAGGGGTGACAACTTTTCTCAGCTAAGAATTGGCATGGTGGAGGCTCACAGTCTAAATATATATACTCTGTGTGTATGTGTATGTGTAATAAAAATATTTCAAATTTGTCACCTTCCATCTCACTACAAAGTGATGGACAAAACCTGGACATGATTTCAGTTTATTGATTTTTAAATGTAATAATGGTTAATAAAATTACTCTTCAACCATGGAACTAATAATTTCCCCATCCCATCATATTAAAAATTGAAATTTGGTCACAATTTTTGGAAGGATCTGAGTCTTTGGTGGGAGGGGGGAGTGAAGTTTTCTGGGGGTCCATACAGTCCTAGAGTCTTCAGTTTTGAATCTTTTGTTTAAATGTACATAATGCTACAACTTTTGTAAATCTAAAAAGCTGTTGTTCTCATTAGTGCCTGGATAGGAGACTCCTTATAGAATACTGCATTCTCTTTTGTGTTAAAAAAAAGCCCATAGATGACAACTCTCAAGCAACAACAGGTTCATGCTTAAATTCCATTATTCCTATAGCCAAGAGGTATTATTTTCAGTACTTTTTAATACTTGTTTCTTTTGTAGAAACCAGGCAAATGGTGTGCTATGCATGTTCATATTGCTTGGCAGATATACCACCATCAACAGAAAGTCAAGGTGAGCTCTTTTGGGCAAAGGGTGATTGACTGACTGACTGACTGACTGACTGACTGACTGACTGACTGACTGACATCTCTCAGACTCAGCAGGAGTTTTGCATGGAAAAGGTCCCAGGTTCAGTCCCTGAGACCTCCAAGTATAACACTCAGCTGATTGGAAAAGCTCATCTCTGCCTAATGCCTTGGAGAGCCACTGACATTCAAATGGGGTAATTTTGGACCAGCTGGCCCATTTAAGGCATTTCTTACACTCCTGTATGTCAGGTAGAGAACTTGTGGTCCTCCAGTTGTTACAACATTGGAAACTGCAGTTCAGCATCGTTGCAATGGCCATAGGTTCCTCAATCCTGTCCATAGTCAGGAATATTAACTTCCTGGCTTCCGATTCATAAGCATGGATTACAGATATCTGCATCTATAAGACATGCATTTTAAAAAGAACCTGATCTCTCCTTGATTTCCAAAGTACTATGTTCCTTTTTTTGAAAAAAGAACTGCCAACTTAATGATTTTTTTTTTTTTCCTATTTCAGAAACAGATGCAGACAGATCCTCATAAATTGGATTTTGGTTTGAAACCTGAATTTCTGAGCAGACCTCCAGGTCCCAGTCTTTTTGGGGCCATCCACCATCCTCATGACTTAGCTCGGCCATCAACTCTTTTCTCTGCAACCAGTGAGTTTGTAAACCACCAATCTGCTCTCTGTTTAGAAATGGAACAGGAGGAAGAGGAAGGGTGGGCAGTGTGGTGCAGTCTTCAGCAACACATGACAATGTTTTAATACTGATAAACACTGTCAAATAAATAAATAACTGCATGAATTAAACTATAAGACCTGAAATCACCTGGGAGGGATGTTCTGGTTTTAAATTCATTCTTCTTTTGATCAGAATTTGTGGGTGGTATGTCCAGGTATTGTCTATATGTCCATTTGAGATAATCAGATACATTAGAATCATAATATTAGAAGGGGCTGTTTAGGCCATTAACTCCAATGTCCTGCAATGTGCAGGAATCCAGCATCCCAACATCTCTGGCTAAACCAAATGAAGCCTAGGATACAATGTCTACTCTGCAAGCGCTCTACTCAAATGTTTTGGTTTGCTTGCTTTTGAATTTGTTTTGATAGGTGCCGCCCATCCAGCCGGCCCTACTTTTGGTCCTCCCCCACACCACAGCAACTTTCTCAACCCAGCAGCCCATTTAGGTAAGTGGAAATTCTCAAAGCAAAGTGGTCAGAAACCTTTTCACCTCTGAGAGGCTATGGCAGACTTCAGGGTATTGTCTGAAGGTCCATGAGGCCATGCAGATCTGAGTCTGGTCAAGGTCTGCTTGGAGATCTGCTCCCGATTCTTGTGTTGCATCTTGAGTCCTTTCATGGAGAAAAGGAGGAATGCAACTCTAAGAGATTATCATGGAGAGGAGGTTGCAAATTATTTTTAATCTGAATTGGGCAGGAGAAGAGCATTTATAATACTATAACATTATAGCTTCCATACACTAGCGTGGTGCACTATAGTAGCCTGTCTTTTTCATTTTCTTTCAAATATGGTTTGAGGCAAGCTGTGCCTCTTGTTCTGGGTTTCTTGCTTCCATCACTGTGGTGGATTGCCGCAGAGAGCAAGGCTATCAGGAAGGAGGGGGTGCGTTCCAGGAAGGGAAAGGAGACAAAAGACAACACAGTCCAGAGGTGCAGCGTGGAAAGCATAAGAGGTTCAGGATAACCACTCCCTAGAATCTCCTAGGGTATATCCACTGGTTGCAGTAATACAGATTTAGTCTGGCAAGATTCTGTCTATATGGTGTAAGCAAATAAAGGAACTGAACTCAACTGGATTGCTTCACCACTGTTTTTGGGCTGGGCCTGACAGTCACATCCATGCGGTGCTTTATATGTTGTGTTTGTTCTTCAAGGTTGGCAAAACAAAGTGAAGAGTAAGTCAGAATGATTGCTTGACTATACTTCAATTCTCCTCCACTGAACTTTTCCACATCCAAAGAGCAGAGTGACTTGCCCTTTATAACACCTCTGCCCCAACCTAAACTTAATCTTGGTGTAACATTCTCACTGTTACATCCTGTGAGAATCATCAACGATGTAGAATAATACAAATTTAACTGGAGAGTTTGTAGCAGGTATTAAGTCTAACATTCTGCTCAGTGACGGGATCCTGCATCTATTGCCATTCCCATCTCAGTGGGTCCCATCCTTTGCTTAAGTTCCTGTAGAGCAGTGTTTCTCAACCTCAGCAACTTTAAGATGTGTGGACTCCAACTCCCAGAATCCCCCAGTCCACTGGGGAATTCTGGGAGTTGAAGTCCACACATCTTGAAGTTGCTGAGGTTGAGAAACACTGCACCAGAAGATTAACTCACCATTTCATGAAGCTGGCTGGCCGGCTGGCCGGCTGGCTGGCTATCTAAATCTACTGTTGAAAACTTTGTATCACTGTGAAGTTTCTCCTAACATTTAGGTGAAATCTGTTCCCCTTCAATTTAAACATATCAATCCTTTTCTACCCTCCAGAGCAAGGATGGACAATCTGTTGATGGTCAAGAGCTGTATTTAATATTCCAAAGCCATGTATGTTGGAAAGGCTTGGTTTGGGGGAGTTACTTTGGTTTTGTTAAATATTTAGAGCTTAAGCTACCATTTTCAGTGTTTTCCACTTCAAAATGATGAGATATTTTGCTATCACAATTTCAGCAATCATAATCAGAGGAGGCTTGGAGGACCACAGAAAAGGTCCCCAGGATTTCTACCTTCAGATTATCCATTCAGGAACATCAGAAGGTCCCTTCCTAGTGAAGAAAAGCATTCATAGCACAATTGGAAGTGCTGCTTTGTGGAAAAAGTCTCCTGTATTTTTTTTCCCCTACTGGTTCTCATTCAGTTCCTTTACTTAATTAAATTAAATTTAATTTAATTCACTTCATTTAGTGAAAGAGACTTTGCTTTCCAAAGTTATTTCAAAGGAGAAAGAAATTCTGGTAAAATTCTCAAGGGTGGAATTTGTCCTTTTTGTGTTTTTGTATTGATTTAGTTCTAGACGGCTAAGGACTGATTGTGAATGTCCTATCTTTATTTAT